GCCCCAGGCCCTTCTCTTGGCGCTGCCCCCCACCCCTCAGGGCCACTTACCAATTTGAGTGAGAACTTTTGTTTCTGGGGATCTGACCCACAGGCGAGGATGGAGGTGGATTCAGCTGTGGAGGAACAGAATGAGCCGGCAAGGTTATAACCCACAGGGAAGGTCAGAGTCATCGTCGTCAAACTTCCCAGCAACGAGGTTCTTCTCCCGCTTTTTCTCGCTGTCAGTCCCCAGCTGTGCAGGAAGGGCCACCACAGCAGGCCCGGGACTGCTGTCAGGTCTGGGAACCGGGTTTTAGGCTCCCAGCATTCCCTGACTGATGAGAGGGGCTCACCGGGCCTGAACCGTTTGTGCAAACGATGTGGTTTATGCTGAACACCTGCTGTCCTTCTGGGAGGCTGGGATTTGGATACCTGTTAGGCAGAGGGGACGCTGAGCCTCTGATGAGCTTCCCTGGTGGACGATTCCCACACATTGTCACAACTTGTGGTGGGGGAGTTAAGTGCATCTGTGCCGAGTGGCTTCATCCAACAGTGACCCATATCCAATGATGGATTGAGAGAGACACAAAGGCCCAGCCATCCCAGCCCGACGCAGAGGCATGCTGAAGGGCCATTCTTGCTCCAGACCCCCGCAGGGTCAGCTGAGGCTGTCACTGGGCTGCACCGCGGCTCCACCTCTCCCTCTGCCCCACGTGCTTCCTTCCCCTCCCCTCCACAGGCTCCGTATAAACACCCGTGTGCTTGTCCCGCCAGAGCCCGCTTCCGGGAACCCACCACATCTCCAGCGCTGCGCTAAGTGTGGGCTTTCCGTGCATCCTCCTCATTTGACAGATGAGAAAATGAGGGAGCTAAAGCTTAGAGAGGCCAAGAAATGCCAGGCCGACCTGGGTTCAAATCCCAGCTCCTCTGTCTCTCAGCTCCTCTGTGTGACTTCCGGTGAGGTGCTAAACATCTCTGGGCCTCCATTTCCACGTCTATAAAACAGGAGTAACGAAGCCTACCCTGCGATGGGCTGCGAGCATTCGACAGGCCAGTAGGAACAATATAGTACCGCTAAGTGTGCGGCCAGAGCCGCACCACCCTCGATGCGCCTGGCTGAATCAACCCACTCACAGCCCCACAGCCCAGCATAAAGCCTGGTGCATCCGGATTGCTCAACATGTGGCAGCTTTTTAAAATACCCCCATAACTCCAGGGCCCCACAGCTGGTAAGTGGCAGCGCAGACTTGGCCCAGGTCTCACTCATTTGAAGCCCATGAACTGAACCATCATTATCTGTCCACCCTACTCACTCCTGTGTCCCTCCTTCCTTCCCTCTCACCATTCCCACCCTCCCTTAATCAAGGTTGGTATCACCTAAGAGGCTGAGCTAAGGGATGAGGGGGTGACCAAGTCCCCTAGAAGCCATCCTTGCCCCTTAAGAAGCTCCAGCTGGAACAGGGCTGGGACCCGGTTCTACACATTCAAGGCCAAGGATACTCTGAGCCCAGCAGAAGAGGGCAGAGTGTGCAGGGCACAGATCTCGGGGACAGAGGATCCTTTCTGGCTGTGGGAGGGGACTTGGGGGATCATCAAGGGGTGTCCTGGAGCTGGCTGGGACATCATGGCCAAGAGCCTGCTCCTCACAGGAACCCGGGTGTAACAGCAGTACCTGTCTCACAGGGTAGGCATGAGGTCAGACGACAATGCGTACACGTCTGGCACTCGGAAGCAGGCAGGAAAAGCTGGTGATTTAAATACAGTTTTCCTGCACTGTTTTGCAGATTGTAAAGAGTTTTTCTCTTCCACTTTTCTAACTGACCCTCCCACTAACAGCCTGGAGAGCTGTTTGGGCCACTTTCATTGCAGAAGGAACTAAGGGAGGCCAGACTGGGGCAAGGGCCCCAGCAGAGACCAGGGCTGCAGACTCTGTGATCTAGGGTGACCCCTGCTTGACACAACAACCCCTTCCACACAACATGGAACATCTCTGGCAAATGCAGACCAGAGCATGGCAGGCAGGCAGGCCGGCAGGTGGGAGCTCTGCTTGCCAAAGGAAGGGCAATATTGAACTTGCAGCAAGAATGCTCTTCTGGACCGATCCTAACCATAACAACCACAGAAAGCGCTTATACAGCACTTGCTATTTTCCCAGGCATCGTTCTACTCATTTACCTCTCCCAACAACAGCTGTGTGAGGTTGGTAGCGTTAC